GGTGGGTAACTGAGTCATTTCCAATATTGGGGGCGGGGGTGGGGGGTGATAATTGACACTGCTCTGTCTCCCCTGAGTCTATGATGACTTGGATAATAATAAAATAAGCAAGGCCATTGATTAATTCCCCCCCCCCCACACACACACACTCTTTTCGGCTCGTTACAGCGCTTGATACACACTTGTTTTCACTAAATAAAAAACAGCACAATAGCACAATCCATGCCAGCTAATATTTATATACATATATTTGTGTGTGTGTGTGTGTGTGTGTGTGTGTGTTGTTTGTGTATATATATATATATATATGCGCTGTGGGATCGATTCCCACTCATATATTCATTCCTAATTAACCTTTGATAATGATAAAATAGGCAATTAGATAATTCCCCGCATCCCTCCCCCCTCCCTTGATCTCTTCGCAGCTTGTTCGTGCGCCGTACCCGCTTGTTAATTAAATCAAAAACTGTGTGATAGCCCAATCTGATGCCAGCTCGTTTGACACCCTCCCTACCCCTTCGGCAAGTTATCCTACGCCTCTATCTCGACACCGAGGGATGGCTGGTTGATGGGGAAGTATCACACGTTCTCGCTATTAAGCTCTCTGTTGTCTCTCGGATGACTAATTAGCGTCTATGAAAGTCCTTAATGCCTATCTGATACAAGGGCTCGTGAAACACAAGGCTAACAGGTGTGTGTATGCACATATGTGTGTGCGTGCGCGCACGTATGTCCCGGGATTAAGACCGTTTTAATTAGTGTAAGTGTATTTTATCATTTGCATACTTGGCCATTTGCTGAGAGTCCAGAGCTACGCGTCAGCTAAAGATAAAAGAAAAGTCCATCGCGAAACACTTTTGATTTAGCATATTTATTCCTCCCGAAAACAGAACTCATTTTCGGAGTTGCATTGCTCATTTTAATGTGTGTAAATCCACGCAGTAGTTGAACGAATGTGTTCAACCCCATGACCGTGACGGTATATTTACATTGGGATTGGCAAACAGGTGGCGGTTATCATCTTTTTGTTGTACTCCGCACAATTTTTGGTGGGATATTGTTGGAGGGTTCTGTTAACACAAGAATTTAGTAGGATTTTATTAAAATGTGTATTCAATTGAAAATAAATACAGTAGTTGTGGTGAGATCAACATCACTATTATGTTTTTTTTCCCCTCATGTTCCATTTTGTACAAAACTATAAGATTATCAGCACATGTGCATCAATTCAATCATGATATCAACAATTTGCACCTTTTAAAAAAATATTAACAGTGAATCATTATTCCAAATTAAAATCTTATCCGCTCTTTTGTATCCTTGAGCCTTTCTTTAATGCAGAGAATTGTGGAAGCTACCATCAGAATTAGCGCAGTGAGGAGGAAACTGCAAAAACAAAACCCTTCATCATGCCTGAGAGTGAAGACCTCCACCAAGGCCGAAACAAATGTGCCTTGTGCAAGCGTATGAATTTAGACATCGAGGTTCACCAAGAAACGAAGGGAAAATGCCCCCCCCCCCCACCCCCTCAAAAAATCTCCACCTCTTTCTAAAATACACAAAACTGCCCGCACCTTTATCCAGATCACGACCTCCTTGGCGGAGGTAATAAAAATGAGAGCGGTCCGCTGCGTAAGTGCGGCTTAAATCCCTTAAAAGGAACCAATCGTCATTTTTGATCCCGTTTGACAGCGACGCGCGGCCCGTTAATGTGCGTCATTTAAACTAATCCGTCATTTCTTTGGACGTCACCCAAATATCAGTCAATATTGGGCTCTCAGCCACCCCTCCCCTTTGGTGAAAAACCGGCCCACTAAAACACAGGCCTCTTTATCAGCGCCGCTGTTAGCTGGCACGGCACAACCCCTAAAGCTCTTGTATAAATAAGATTAGTGTTGCGTTTGAACGGCGGGAAATAAGAGGTGTAATATCTGATGGTTTTATGTGCAGTATTACTGTTATCCCCGCTTAGTCGCCTTGATACGCTTCTCTCTCTCTCTCTCTCTCTCTCTCTCTCTCTCTCTCTCTCTCTCTCTCTCTCTCTCTCTCTCTCTCTCTCTTCGCATTTCTTCATTGTTTTGTTCCCTTTCTCTCGCTCTCTCCACCATCCAGACGGCTTTATGAGGCGCTAAACTGGAATAAAGCGCCCCGCGTTCAGACGTTCGTATTGTCCTGTTGGGTATGTCATGCAATATCGCTTCCCTGCTGTGCGGGCACGCTTTGCTATGATTTCCCGCATAATTCTACCAATTCACCAAAATTGTTGGGGTTTTGGGGTTTTTTTTTCGAACTGAGGGAAATTAAAGACCAACATCAGATTGCATCACTTCCAATATTTGACACTGGCGCATCGGTGTATCGTGATACATTATGATATCGATATCTTGCCTAAAATATGCCACAACACTGACATGACCAAGAACCTGACGTCCCTCCAAAATTGATGAAAAGACAAGATGACGTTGCCAGGAGGCAAAACTAAAGTCGCCGCCGGAATTTCTGGCGTGTACTGGCTGTTACAGCAATCTACCATCTTCTTCATATGTCGGGGCTACGGGCTTAGTTGGCAAAGAAAAAAATAGAACACACTTGAAATCTCCCAATTGCATGTGGAAAAAGGTGTAATTGCCTGATAAAACCAAGTTCGAAAATGAATATATGACACACTGATAGACTGCCACCCAGAAACACCGAGCACTGTATTATAAGACAAAGGTACTGCAGCAAACTGTTACCGTGAGGGTGTGCATTTATATGGAACCAGGAGCAAGGTTGTTGTACTCCCCCCCCCACCCCCCCATTAATTGTTGTTTCTTTCAGAGTTTTTATAGATTATATTCAACGTGGAAAAAGTTTTGAATTTATCGCGGTAAATTCAGTTTCAATGCGTCATGACATCATCGTTCACCAAATGAGTCCCCCTGCCCTGTTATCAATTGGCGACGCCGGTTCACGTCTAATTGAGGGGGCGGCGTCCTCGTGCTCTCCGCCGCCTCGGCTCCTTTGAGCTTTCATTGAGGCCGTTTTGTTGTCGTCCATTTTCACATTTCCTCCCTAACTGGCTGCCACAGAGGGCAGACGCCGCACTATAATTACCCAATCTGTTCCCATTCATACGCTTCCATTTTCTCTCACCGCCGTCCGCTCTCGCCCCACTCTCAGCCTTTCCGGCCTGCGTTCCCCTTTGAGCCTCATCTCTCGTGGCGAGCAGGAGCCCTCCTCCTCCACTTCATCATCATCATCATCATCTTCCTCCTCGTCTTTTTGCCCCTGTGGGGGCCCTCCAATATGGGGGTATTAGGGCAGAGTGCAGGCCCAGCTGGGCGCAGCCTTGAGCAGCTGAGGGTTATCCGCGGCGAGCCCCGAGTCGCCACGGTACGCTCGTGTGATGTCGCTGATGCGGAAAGGCTCTCCTCAACACGCCGCAGCCTTTGATGGGCCCCAGGGCCCCGCACCCGGCCTGGGAGCCCCACTGTGGGGGCCCGGATGTGATTCACTCTCACACCAAGTCACTTTGGCAAGGTTTAGATTGTCTTTCCCTTTTGGTGGAAAGTGCCACAGTTGTTTGTTTTTTTTTTCTTGCTCTATGCCTGTGATTCTTAAACCTGTTGCAGCAAGTAACTAAACAAATACTTGGTCATCTGATTTGTTTTTTCCTCCCCTAATGCAGAACGCCATAGAAGGCCTAATGAATCGTTGCTGTTGCGCTGGTATAACCCTTTAAGTGAGGGATATTTGAATACAAATGGTGGCGTAACATGTAGACAGATAATGTAACACTGCTCAGAGGCGTATCTTCTTTATCATCTGTGACGTAACGTCCCCTTCGTCTCCATGTATATCCCTATGCCAGGTCACTATGGCACAAACACTAGAAGGAGCAGGACGATGTCCATATACGTATACGCATAAAAATTTGCATTCCAATTCATTTCAATAAGGGAAAGATGATTTGAGGTCCTCGAAGACAAATATAAGTGTGCTATGCTTGGTTGACATAGTTTAACACTTGGCAATTTGGGATCAAAGAGAGCCATGCTAGGGGTACAAAGTCTTTTTTTTTTTTTTTTTTTAAATATAGGCTGCTGTGCTAATATGTGTTCCCGTGTGAAACTCCTCCCGCTGTCTACGTGTGACAGATAACATCCCGCCGCAGTTCAAAACCACACAAGCAGGCTGATTTCAAAGTTTTCCGGAGGAAAAGCGACATTTCATCCGTGCTTCTGATGTTGGCCTTCAAACATCTTGTTTTTCCATTTCATCCGTTTCTTCCTACCTTACACCCCCCTTTGCCGTGCCTCCTCTCCAAAAAGAGAAGTATTGTCACCCTGGCCCAGATTCATTTTAGATTAACGCGTCTTTCTCTCTTGCCGTGCCTTCAAAGGACCTCCATTACGTGGCGGGCGATAAGGACGAGCTGGTGCTGGCGGAGGTGGCCAAGAGGAAGGCCCACCAAGTGGCGGAAGCGTGCGACGGACGGGAAAAAATCACTGTGATTAACCGGAAAGACACTGAAGGTGACTTTTTTTTTTTTTTTTTTTAACATCTTAAAATACGTCACACACTCTCAAAGGCCGCTCTGACCTCACGGTCATGTTGGTCAATTGAAAACGATACCTGTAAGATTTTGACCAAATGAAGCCTTTATTGATCTTTAAAAATATTATTTATTCCCTAAATACTGTTCCTTTATGTCAAAATGCCTGAAATACAATAAACGGCATTTTCTATATTGTTTAAGGGTTATTTAAGGTTAGGTAAAAATGGATTTTAGTGAGTGTGAAAAGTCTTTACAAATTTTGTCAAGATGAACGATCGCAATTAGTAAGCCTGAAGCCTGAAATGTGGCTAAAGTGAGCGGATAAAGTCTTACATTGGCTTCCTGAAACCTATCAAAAGATTTTCTTTCATCCAGTAAATCCAATCATATTTTACTCTTTACTTAAAATGTTCCATGCAACATGTCTTCAAATATTCTGGCTTCCTTTTTTTGTTAAATATTTATAATTATTCAGAGCACCGAGTGAAGGCGAGCTTTGGAATTGGTGTTAAAAGTCTTCAATCTGGCTTCCTTTGTTAAAATGTGTGATACATTTTATTTTTTTAAAAAAACATTACAGTGTAATTTTTTTTTCTTGAACTTCCCCGCTACCCTGATATGCAAATGTATCACAAATCTTCTCACGCAATTTCTTGCTATCAAGGTTAGTGCCCCTTTTTTTTTTATTGGTTTTCAATTTGATCAAAGTGATATTAAAAGGTCTATATATTTTGTTTTTGCTTCATAAATAATAAACTTCCTTGCCAATATTGTGATCAAAATTAATATAGAAAACAAAAGTAAGTATAGATTGAGAGTTTGTATTAAAATAAAACCTCTCCTTTAGTAATTCGTCAGTCATTTAAATGAACTTTTTCGTGCTAAATTCCAAATACCTTTTCCAAACCGTGCTGTTACTCAAAGCCTCCGGAGAGCACGCATACCAGAGGGGATCAAGGCACATTCATGATTACACACTCACCATTCCTCACCCGGCGACGTTCTCATTCCGCACGTAAACTGGCCGAGCATGTCCGATGAGGAAGGAAGCGCATCGCCGAGGGGCGTTTAACTCGCCGGCGTAAGGTCGTCCGCCTTCGGCCTCGAGCTGCTCAGGCCAATGAAAACCGGCGTTTCTCTTCGGTCCCTAACGAGATGCGCAACACGTGCCCTCGTGGCCCTCCTCATAAGCCTCTTAATTGTCTCCTCAATGATTTGTCTGCATCACCCGCAGCTCGGCCTAGCCTTGGACCCAAAATACGGCATTGGAGAAGCCGGGCAGGCAGGCAGCGAGAACAAGCAAGAAAAGTTGGTGATTGTTTGATGAGCTTCTATGGGCAAATGTATTGGGACATGTGGACATTGAAGGGGGAGTCAAAAATATTCTGAATAATTTTGTGTTCTATACACCCCCACTTGTCATATTGTAACACGATATGTATTCTGGGCTAAAGTGGATTTCAAAGTAGGAAAAAAAATTATGTATATATATATCTATAGAGAGAGAGAGAGAGAGAGAGAGAGAGAGAGATAGATAGATCGATAGATATATATTAATGGAAGTTGTCATCTTTGATTTGCATTCGTGGGCCACTTATATTGGTGTGGCAGGCCACATCTGGCCCCCGGGCCTTGAGTTTGACACCTATGCCATAGACCATAGTCCAAACACCATTCGACCACAAACCATAGTCCATTGGCCATATTCCATAACTATTCATTGGAAGTGCATTGGCCATACAGCAGAGTCTAAAAACCATCGTCGATATATCAGAGTCCAATTGTACAAATGTATCAATTCTGTGAAGGAAATGAAGGCTCAAAGGTTATCTTGCACTTCACTTTTCATAGAATTTCTGACAAGACTCTGGTGTTACCCCACAGATTAATTTATTTGACTTCCAGGAACCTGCAGGAGCAATTCTGAGTTCCATCTGAAACTCGGTCTTCTGAAAATGCTTTTTGACATCTTTGAGACGCACCGAGGCCGCGTGTTGGATCCGAAGGATGTTTTTTATTTGATTTTTTTTTGCGCACGTCGTCTTACATTCACGCACGTCCTTTTGTAAATCGCGCTCTCAAAACACACAATGGAAGAATCACAGTGCAGCTTAGCGACGGTCCTTTCAGAAAAGGCTGCTGGCTGACAAGTGTAGCGATGGGCGCAGATACGCCATTGTGAGCGTCACCAGAAGTGGGAGGCGAAGCTTTCTCTTTTTCATGCTATCGCGTTTTCTTCTGGGTCGCCTCTTTTTTTTTTTTTTTTGCCAAAAGCGCAAGCCAAGTGGCTTTGACGCAGCTCCCGCGTGTGAAGTTGCCATGCGGCCGCCGGGCCTCCGCACTGGCATCGGGACAAGAGGAGCTTTATCTGGAGATCCGCGTCTACTCTGCCGCAAAGCCTGTTAGCTCCAGCGTGTCCCCACCAAAGAAACAGCTGTTAGTTTTGCAGTTTCGCATTCCCACTTGCTGTTCTGCACAACCTCCGCCGCTCGTTTGAGGAGGGATCTGCCGTGTTGTTGTCGCGGCGTGAAATCCCCCGCCCCTCCAAAAAAGAGATCTTCTTTCCCAACCGGAAAACATAAATCGTCGTGAAAAATTATGACACTTCAATGGTATATATGAGCACGTGTCAAGCTAATTGCCGGCATTTAATGGAAATACAGCACTGTCGTTGTCTGGTTTTGTTGTCTTAAGAAGAAAAATAGCACAGTATCGTATGAAAGCATTATAAATCATGACAAAATAATATAATTAAGTAAACTGGTTTTAAAATGTAATGGCCGGACGCGCTGTCCTATTCGCGTGTTGCCTGTGCGCTTTGAAGGGGCGGGGCCAAAGCATGGCATTGAATTGGATGGTTATTGCAGTGTTAGCGTCTGCTCCTCGTGAGCGTAGTCATTTTGTATTTCTATGATTGACTGTCCCGTTGAATAAAGAGTTGAAAGTGAATCAGCGACTGGCTCTCCTTGCCCACATGCCCACTTTACAGTACCTTAATTGCTTCATTGTTTTCCCCCTGACTTCACTTGAACGGGTGGAGCACCTAAAGTTTGTTGTTCTTTCAAATTTGGGCCTTTTCATGGCACTGTATTTAAATACACGCATGGGCCACATCATTTGAATGTTTTCAGATGCCGTGAGAGAGAGGAACCGTGTGAGTGCCTACAGCCTAGGCATCAAAAGCCAAAGTCCAACCGGACCATCGCACTCAAGCCCTCGCAAAACAACCCTGTGAGTTGCGCGTCTCTCCATTACATTGTACAATGTTGCTTATAAAAACTTCTTTCCATACATTCGAATCCTGTGGGAACACTACCTTTTCTATTCCGGATCAACTATTTATCTGCAGAATTCTTTTCTCATCTATGTTGCATCAAGTCCACTAACAGTCCATTGTCTACAGATCAATAGTCTATAGTTTTGAAATCTATTCGTCAGAGACCCGAAGTCAGACTATTAACCGTATTCCATAGGCCAGAGCCAAGATACTATAAACCATAGGCCAGAGACAACAATCCATAGTCCCTAGATCATAAACTCTTAAAACCATAGACCATAATCCACAAGAGACTATATCCAATGCACTACAGTCATTGGACCGCGCCCTTTCGGCCATATTCCACCGATCATAGTCCATTGACCATCGTCCAGATATCCTCGTCCATTGACAATCGACCTTAATTTGTAGACTAGAGTCAATAGACACGGTGAATATTTCATGGACCATTTGCAGGCCATCAATTTCTGCCATGTCCATCACTCCCTAATCCATAATCTGTAAACGTTAATCCATTAGGTTGAAAACCATAGTCCATAATCCTGAAACATTAGTCCTTTGCTCAAAGATCATAAAATACATACCCGATAGTCCATTAGTGTAAACTCCCCCAATTTCTGGCAATGCCGTTAAAACATAGTCGGTAGTCCATAATCTATAGACCATAGTTCATCGTTCACAGACTGTAGGGCGCGGTCCAAAGTGCTTTGGCCACAGATCTTCAAAACACACAGGCCATAGTCCAGAGATCTTAAAACTATCGCCTGTCGATCACATTACATTGACGATAGACTGTTTTCCGTAGACCGTATAGTCAATGGAACATATGCCAAAATTCTTAGTCCATAGACCACATGGAGGCCACCGACGACCGTTCCCTTGCCAGGGCCATTGGTCTACGTTGTAAAAATTCTCCTACATTGTATTACAGTGACCATGTCCCAAATCTGTCTGTCTTTATGTTGTATTGCACATAATAATAATCTCCCTCTTTTTGTTAGCGCAAAAATGACATGGAGACTCCTCGTGGGCTGCTGCTTTTTTTGTTGTTGTTACATTTTGCGCTTCATCATTGTGTTCATTCTGATGCGGATGAAAGCCAACGCCGTCGTCTCTCCGGTGACGTTTGAAATGTCAAAAGCCGTATCGGTTCTGGCTCTTACGCTCTTACTGGGGTCCGTGGTGCTTTCAAAACGCCGCCATTTGGAACGCCTGACGAAACCCCCGTGATGGGTTTAATACCAGGCACTGTGAATGAAGAGTGTGACTAAACACACAAATATGAGCATCCGTGGCTGCCTTGTGAAAGCGGGACAGCTCCCGTGTTGAATGTTTAGATGAGATTTGTGTTCTCCGCATCCTCCCGATGCTTTTCGCGGCTCTTTTGACCGACGACTCCGTCCACCCGGCCTTCCTCTAACACCGTCCAAATTCCCTTCCTATCGGCCAATTTAGGTCCGAAGTGGCAGAGATGCGCAAATGCCAAGCTCTTTTTTTTTTTTTTTAAATACAAAGACTCAATAAAGGAACCATGTTGGCAACACGCCGCCCCGAATCTTCGGCTGCTGACTGAGGCCAAGAAAAAGATCATCCCGAAGGGACAGATGCTCAAAAAGCCTTCGCCTTTAAAAAAAAAAAAGTTATATATCAAACCCTTCCTCTTGTAGCATTCCGCCATTGTCATCTTTTCTCAGATGAAGTTTCTTTGTTTCTCATGCGAAACAAGCAACAGCTTAGCTTTTTGAGCATTTTGGCTCCGTGCGAGAGCACAATGGCAGTCTGGGGGCTCTTCGGCTCCCTGCCACCCCCACTCCCAAAACACCCCCAAATCCGAAAATCCACATCCATTGCGGAGTGAGAATGAGTGGCAATCTGGGATGCGGCCCAACTTTTCTTTGATGGCCGCCGACCGCAATCGCTCTCAGCTTTCGTTCTCGGAGCGGCTTGTATTTTTTTTTTTGGTGGTGGTGGCAACTTAACGTCTGTTTCTCACTTTAATCATCAATTAAAGCCCGCTGGCCAGAATCCACAGTCCTTAGTTCGTATATTTAACCAAAGTCAATCAACCAGAGGCCATTTTACCACATTGACCAAAGACGCAAGACAGTCGAACAGAGTTTGTGAGCCTTTCAACCACTGTCCACAGACCGTAGTCCATAATCGGTATTCTACAGACCAAAGTCAAGTTGGTAGACCGTTCGACCATAGCGCTTTGACCGTAATCCATCAACCATATTCCACAGACCAAAGACCACAGCCAATACCGCGTAAATCGTCGATCGCGAGCGACCGGTAGCTCGCGGACTGGTCCCAAGTCGATCGCAAGGTGTATAAGAGGGAGAGGGGGAAAAAAAAACAAAAAAACATTTGTGTGTTTGTGTGCGCATTATTAATATGATATATTTTTGTCTTACTGCACACACTTAGCATCCTATCCGTCTCACTTTCACCAAAAAAGTATTTTAAAAAAGAAAATAAAAAATAAAAAAGCAGGTCACCTTTAACCTACGTGTGACTCGCATCACCAGAAAGTTGTTAGCGGTCAGCAGGCTGGAATTGCTGCTCGCGATCAGAGCTGTCGCGCTCTATCTTTTATCATTGTTTTCTCATTCAGAATTTGTTTCGTGTACAATTCACCGAGAGCACGGGCAAAGAATGGGAATCTGGAATGCCGGGAGAAGCATTTTAAAACGGTGAACGTGAGCTACAATCGTTAACACGCTGTCCCATGCCTCCGCGTCAGGTCTCTATTAAGCTAGGCAGTGATTTGCTTTTCACTAACGTTTGCGTCCACTTTATTTTTCTGTTTCGTTCATTTCCGGGGCCGTTCTGTCTATTGCTCTTCATGGCGGGCGTGTGCGGTAACCGGTCGATCGCAGGACGTTGGTTGATCAAAAAGTCGATCTTTGGCCAAAAAAGGTTGGGCAGGCTGCCTTCAATAGGCTTCAGTCCTTAGACCGCAGAGAATTGACTCTAGTCTACAATCGGGTTATATTGTTTTGACATCATTTGACTTACTTAACTTTTTTTGGGAGGTTGTTTAGCAGTGACAAACCAGTCAGCGATGAACTCAGCCGCTAGGATACCGATACTAGCTTGTGTGTGTGCTTGCGTGTGTCTGTCACACACACTACTATCTGTGTGTTGTGTCTCTCTCACACGCACACACACACACACACACACACACACACACACACACACACACCTTATCTCAGCCTGCAGCTTAACCTTTGCAGGTGAAAGAGTCGCAGGAATATAAATAAGAGTAAACACCACCGGCAGGCTAGCCTGACCGGCCACGGCCTCACTTTGTGGAATGTTGCCGTCAAGTCACCTGACACAGCTTGCATCAATCGTTTTACACCAAAATGTAAAAAAATTCATGCAAAATGTCTTTTTTACATTTTCCACAACCAGCACCGTCATTTAAATTTTTTTTTTCAACATTCTCCACTTTGTAATGAGAAGGACGAGCAACAACCCAACACACAGAAGCGGAAGAGCAGTTGCCGTTACTTTTGTTGTCATGGACCAAGTACTCTCCTATCAGCTCGCTGGAACTTTTCCGAACACTTTCACCGCACCTTCTCCATTAATTGAGAGAGATGACGTTGACATTTTCAAAATCGGCTGGTTAAATTATGCGTTTAACTCTGAATGATTCTGATTTCAAAGTAAAATGTAGTGCCCCCCCCCCCCAATTTGCTTCAACATATCAAATGATACCATTTCGCAGACTGATGGGGAATTGTCACGCTGCTGTTTGATAATCCAGACTGTAGGCTAATGGAGGCGATTTGCGGCACATTGTTTTAAATATCTGCATATGGGTTTTAATGTCAATCACAAGCTTATCGACGCACGGCGCTCGCGGGCAAGGGAGATCACCATGAGTGACAACTACTTCAAAAACCAGCCTGGGTGGCTTGTTCAATTAGTACACCAGGCCTGTTCCACAGTTTGCGTGCGTGTGTGTGTATATGTGTGTGTATGTGCACGTGTGTGTGTGTGTGTGTAAATTTATGATTATGCATGAAACGTCTGTTGGCTTTCTTTTACTGTAGGAAGCAAGGAAGATGAACGAGGCCGCCTCACTGTGAGTTTTTGTTTTTTGTTTTTGCCATTTGAAATGAGTATGAAGCAAATGTTTTCTTCATTGTTATTCTGATCCCAGTATAGAGGATAGATTGGACCATCTTCACATGATACAATCTTTGTGTTTTGTTGCCACTCAGGAAGACGACGCCCCCGGCGTGCTCCTCCTGGTTTATCTCAGAACTGTTCCACCGCAGCGATACTCCCACGTCGTCATCAATCGCCAATCATTGCTATTGATAAAAGTGAACTTCAAAGTACTTGTTGAAAGCAACACTGATGGTGCAGCATCAGGACCAGCTGAGGTTTCGGTGTCTCGTTGAGGAAGCCTCCAATAGTTCATCCTGATGGTGTTCTTCGCCATTTTTTTTCCCACAACTTAGTAGTGAGATTCCAGTGATGGATGCAGCTTATTAATAACCGAGCTGCTAAAATTTGAATATCACACTTGAGGGCTGGCCAGGCACTCCCATGCTCACAACTACACAATTCATAAAAGGTGGGTGAAGTGGCAGCAAAACAGGCAAAAATCTAGATATTTATCAATGATCAACCATAGTTCAACATTGGAAGGTTGCAAACGGGATGCTCACAGACGGTAGTCGCCCCTTAGCTTTGAGTCTCATAGAATGTCATCGGCAGGTTGCAACGGAGATACTGGAAGAGTCACAGAAAAGCACAGAAGTGGGCATCCTTAGAAATTTTCAGCGATCAAACCTTTAGTGTTCGAGAACGGCAACTTGTGTAAAAAGTACAGAATCACTGAACTGTTGGCGTTCACGTTCAAATGTCAATTTTAGGTCACCTGAAAAGATTCAAGTGGATTTTACATTCAGCCTGAAATTTCAACCTGAAACCTCTATTCATTTTTTTTGTGTGTGTGAACAGTGTGTAATTTGTATACAAGACATTAAAAAAAGTACATTTTCCATACGTCCCTTTTAGAGGAAACACCTTGAAAATGTTCCATTAATCATGTGATATATTTCCCTTACTGATATTGAATGTTGCTCAAAGTGTGTGTGTGTGTGTGTGTGTGTGTGTGTGTGTGTGTGTGTGTGTGTGTGTGTGTGTGTGTGTGTGTGTGTGTGTGTGTGTGTGTGTGAGATTAAGGCCGGCAGTTTTATTCATGAACAGGAGCCGAGCGGCGACGTTAAAGCGTGGCACCTTTCCTGAGCATCCGCCATGCCGGTGTCAGAGCTGTCGACGCGGCGTGCTCGCCTGCCTAATCTGACAGCGCCTAATCCCTCACTGTATCCTAATCTATTTACTTTGCATTCTAAGAGGATTTACACCCCCCCCCCCCCAAAAAAAAAAATCATATACAAGGAGCCATGGTTGGAAATGGACAGAAGATCAGCAAGGATGCTTTTCTTTTTTTGTTGCTTGTTTGTTTCGTGGCAAAAAACAAAAAAAAGGGGGGGGGAGAAATCGTGCTACGTTTTCCGCCGAGTCAATCCACCGCCTGAAAGGAATTCCATTTTGGTGACTGATACTAATACTTCTCTTATGTACGCATCCAGTGCACGCCGTGTTTGGCCTGTCACGCTGCCTTCGCGCGCCGTCGTGTCCTGATTGTTTGACCTGACAGCTGCAAAATTTGCTTAACAGCCTCGGCTGCTCACTGCGGAGGCCACCCGCGGCAGACTTTTTGACGCTCCGAAAAGCAGTCACCACCCACGTTCAAGAGCAATTAAAGGGAGCAAGTGCGTTTTGAAATGTACAGTGGTACATCAATTTATAAGTGACCTGAAGGTTAGCAGTTTCCATAGATAAAAAGCTATCGCTAAGATTTTTATTTTATTATTCTTTTTTTTTTGTCTTGAGTTGCGAGCAAAAATGATGCAGTTTAGCAGATAGCAATTACTCATTGTGTAGTCCACCAAAACAACTTTTTTTCTCTCCAATATCTGTTAGGCTAATGCTAACGCAGAATCCAAAATACCATAGACGGGCTACTGAAACTAGCCTTAGGCGTTTCGATAATAATAAAACAGTAAACAACTTGCAACACATGCAACCAGCGTATACAAAAGTACTCATCGGCAGATATTCTTTATCCTCCGCGATTGCGTTGAGTTTTTCATCTTCCAATCTACATGTACTATGTCTCTATGCATTGAACTGCCCCCTGCTGGCGAAGGTGCAGATACAGCAATGGGCACCCAGATACCTGTGGAATGATCACAATGCAAACTGTTTGTCTTGACATTCTATTAAATTATGTCACTGTTTTATGTTTTTGTAATTCACAACATGCTCATTTTTGGGCGGGCTGCAGGTATGGATTAAAAGCATTTTGACAGGGCTTTTGCCTTCGAATAACACAGGATAGGGTTTTTTTAGGGAGGGGGGGAGCCTCATAGATGAATTTAATCTTGGACTGTACAATTGAAAGCAGCACACAGACCGCTGTGATGGTGAAAGCACCTGTGTTCGAATGAATAAATCGCAATGGTAATGATGCGTATGGCCACCAGCTAACATGTTTAACACGGTCCATCATTGCTATTAACACACTCGTGGCCTTGTTAACGTTTCCTAATGAACGCAGCCTGCAGCACTTTTGTCGCATGGTGGGATTTATCGGTGCTAATGATGGCCCTTCCGCCTTCAGGGCTGCCTCATCGTCTGTGGAAGCTCCATGTCATTATGTTCTCCATTATGTCATTTCACGCATCAGATATATTCTGTTCTCTGGGCGTTTTGTATCTATTTTGGGGATATTTGATCAATGTTTTTTGCTCTTTCAAAAGATCATTAGTGAATAGTGATGGACTTGAACATGTCAAAAATCAACTTTGTCTGCTCCAAGATAAGGTCTGGAAGATAATGCTAGGCTGTCATTAGCGACAGCCAGCTAATGCTAGCCACGTGCTACTTGTCAATTATCACTTAGAATGGGACTGAAATTGGTACTTTGTCATTTAAAATATGGTGTAACATATCCATAGCCTAATATCATAAATTTCTTTTAATATAACAACCGAGAAAATTCCAGATGCCTACATTCAAACTTTGCAGATTATACCATGACCTTGGGAGAGCTCAGATATGAAGAAATGAAAAAAAAAATTCAGCAAGCATTTTGGCAAGTCTTATTAAATTACGACGAAATGTCTTGGGCAATTATGCTATTAAGCATTCTTACAATACAATTCAATTATATAATTTTTTTGGTTTTATTATTCTTTTTTTGGGAGGGGGGTGAGCGTGTATGTCCACTTTGTGTCTTTGCCATTTTGCCATTGTTTTGACGTCACTGGCTGTTGTTTTACTGTGTCGCCATATAAGTGGAAAAAGAACATATCCTCCATGTGAGACAGACGTATGGAGACGAGCTCGTCCACCAACAGGAAGATCCTCTTGACACCCCGAGGCCAACCAGATTCACCTCGGCTTCCCTCCCGAGGGTGGGAACAAGTCGCAACGACATCCTGAGAGATGACTATCCCGACAATTCCCAACGTGCAGCGAGGCCTCATTCTCATGGCAGGTTTGACACGCCGCCAAACCAGGACCAGTAGGAAAGGAAGTAAAGGTAAACGCGTCCTCTCATTGGACAATATCTCAAGTAGTTTCATTTACTGTAACCAAAAAGGAATTTCAATTCATTTTTAGATAAAATATGACAAGTTCACTGGTCCATGTTGTCTTTAAAACAGTCATCGGCAAGACCACACCCTCTGCTCACCATGCATACCACCACCCCCGCTTTCTTTTCCAGCAATTTTATGAACCTCTTGATTCCCAAAGTCTGCAGTACTTAAGGGGAATCTTCTTTGCGGATTTTCTACCTCAAACGTTTAACAGTTTGCCAGAGTATCAACATCATTCGGTATTGTCGCGATGTTTGTTACACACTATGGTAACAATACAGTAAAATCAGCCAGGGTGATGCGTATCTTTTAATAGAAATTGGGAATGGTTTTTTTTTTGAATTTTTTAAAATCACTTAGAATCTATTGGATCAAAATTAACTTGCATTGATATGACATCATGTATCATAGCTTTTTTCCCCCAATAAATCCATGTCATGATGGCGCATTTTTTTCCTGAAACGTTGCCGAATAAATCACAAAAAATGTAGTAAAATCTGTTTTGCGAAAGCTATTATAGGTCAAACCTAAAAAAAAACCAAAATGAAAATCTCTTAAAAAAGAAAATTAAATGTTGTGCTTGGAAAAAAAACGGAAAGAAATCAGCATCAAAAATATAAATGTGATGTTGACCAGTGTCATTGCATTTTTGTATCGTGACATCATCGGTGAGCTACATCCAATACGCTGCCATTTCCATCCCCTACTTTCAAAGTTATTTGTGGACTTAGAGCACGGTGAAAACGCCTCAGGCCACCATTAGAAGTGTTGTGAGTGACCATATCTAATTACTCAGCAGCTACTTGATGAAGCTCAAACCTCCCCCAAGGCCTGACCGCTATCAGGCTACCTGCTCGTTCTTGAGCAGACGGGCGGTACCATTCATTCCTTTTGGGGGAAGACGCATCCATCGATACCATCAAACTTCCTGTTATTGGCAGCTTCTATTCAGTTCGACACCGAAATGATATTCACCACCCCAAATTTTATTTTGAAATATTTTTAATCATCTGTTTTGTGTTAGCTTAACTACTTCCCCAGTATTTCCTTCACAATGGAAAACTCAAATGTCAGGCTTGAATATTTTGACCAAATAAAGGGCAGCTCGGAGGTAAAAAGGACAAGCGGTCTAGTATAAATAGATCTTGATGTGTGAAGTATAAACAGTGTCGGTGTTTCCCGAACACAGATTTTCTATTTACACTTTTTTTTTTTTTAAACATGTTTTTGATTTGTCATAAATGTAGTCATCATGGTGGCAACACTTGATTGCTCTCGGGTGGCTCAAAATATTAGAAATAGCTCAACAATGTTCAGCTTTAATATTGTAAATGCAGAATTGTTTAAAATGAAACGTAAATAAAATCCAAATATTTTAAATGAAATGCAAAGATTTGTATTCATATAAATAAAAATATATATTTCTGAAAAAAAAGAAATTTAACATTTAATTACATATACAATTAAAATTACTCATAAAAATAGTTTGGTGAAAAAAAATCATATTTACCATCCCGAATAATGTTGCATCACATTTTTACATCAGCAGTTGAGCATGCGAGGAAGACAAAATGGGGTGGGGGGGGGGGCGCCCTTCGGCCAGTCAGGGACTAGCGTAAACCTTGTGTGCGCTAAAAGCCTCCTATTTTCTTTTTCTTTTTTCTTTATCGTCCTCTGATTGACATGAGAAACACTCATGCACACGCATGTTCCAGTTCACTTCATGGACACGTCAACAGTGTCAAAAGTTCAGCATGGCTACTCGAAGTCTGAATCTAGAATGGCATACGTGAAATGTTCTTTCAACTTTGAAAATAGAGGTTTTTATAGCCTTGTCATGAATTAGTCCTCTTATTTGGTTGTTACGAATCATATTACGGATCATTTGGGCTTAATTTTACTTTGTGTAAAGAGATCTGGAATAGGTTTAGCGTACTCGAACACTGCCGAACTCTTTAGAAATATTCAAATATATAGTCAATAACTTTGAAAAACAAAATCATCAACTAGGATTAAATTAGAAAAAACAATCTGAATTTTTTTTTTCCTGAAAATTTTAACTAGTCTATTTGTATCTACAGTAATTGGAAATATATTTTGCAGTGAAAAAAAATGTGTTGCATAACAAGCACTAATTTTTCCAAAACGTGAGTTTGTTCTAATCATCTCCCACAATATTGGACTGGATATGGTTCATGAGTTGAATCCGAACACACCATTGTCATCTTTCAACATTTCAGACCCGAATGTGTGTGTCCCTGCACCATCTTCTTATAAAAGGCCGCCAAATTGCTGAGTCACGACACATTTTTGGCAGGAGCGCAACCCACTTACCAAGCACGATGACGAATGCGGATTTTAATCACCACCTGATCAAGGAAAACTTCAACATGCATTTCCCCCCGCTAAAAGCAGGTAGGGAGAGGATTTTAATTTGAATAAAATTTGACTGTATTCATTCATGGATTCAAGTTGAGAAGAAATTAACACGACTGAAGGGATCTTTATTGGATGAACATGGAAGTGAGGGTGCTCTCGCCTTTTTTTGGGGGTGAGGGGGTGGCAATACATTCAACATCATCTCAAGTCATTTTGAGCAAGTGAAGAGCGGTTGCAGTTTGCTTTCCAAAGTGATAAGAAGTCAAAGCAAAACTGTTGCTGTTGTTCAAAGATCACCGAAGCCAAAGAAAGATGAGGAGAAAGTGAAGGGGAATCCTTTGATCTTCTTTAAAATTCTTCCTGCTTCTTTAGATTCCTGCAAAAAAATTTTTTTTTTGTTCAGAGTAAAACAAAAGGCATCATATGTAAAACAAACTTTTTCAGAGGCCAATTTGATCTCTTTGGAAACATTTACATTTTTTTTCCTCTGTAGTTTTCTTCCATCTGGACGTGTGTGTAGGAAAGAGTTGCAAAAAAAAAAAACATCTAAAAGGTGGTCACTGGAACTGACCCAATACATATGTACACGCTTTCAGCTCAGACGCTGACTAAAAATCTCTAAAAAATAAAAACAAAAAAAGGGGGGCTAACAGAGCTTTTTGATTGATATTCCACACAGTTGCTCTGGTCATCTCCACAAAAACAAAAAAACTGCCTTCTCATCTTTTTTTCTTCTTCAGGTCCCAACTCTCGAGTGGCTCCAAGCTTTAACAACTCCCAAATGCTCTGATTCAAGAACGTTCAGGAGCCAGAGTGCACTGGAGGAGGAGCATTCCTGCTGGAAGAATTCTTCGCTCTGACTCCCAGTCGTTCCGGCTCTTTGAATTCCAGCTCACGAACGTTCAGGAGTCGGGGCATTTGCGAGCTCAAAACACTACAGCTTTAAGAATTCCATGTCTGGAGTAGAACATGCTCCAAACTCGGAATTCTTGAACCCAGAGGGTTACTGCTCAAGAACATTCAGTAGCCAGAGCGCTCAGGAGGAGGAGCAAGTCCAGCTCCCAGAGTTCCACGTCTGAAGGGGAAAATGCCCCAAATGCACAATTCTTGAAGCTGTAATATGACAGCTCCTGAGCGCTCCAGCTCAAGAACATTCAGGAGCTCGGAGCACCATGAAGCAGAAGCATTCCGGCTCATCGAGTTCTGGGCTCTGGCTTCTGGATGCTTTGGCTCCCGGGAATTTGGGTTCCCCAGCACTCCGGCTCCCAAACGCACCTTCTTACAAACGTAGCAAAACATGCTCCGGACCAAGAATGTTCAGAGTCAAGTGTGGTCCAGCTCCCGAATGCTCCATCTCCCGAGCGCTCAGGCTCCAAGCGCTCCGGCTGCTTTTTTTCTCGGGGGATAATAAAACTCGGCTATCACAAGACTTGGAACCTCCATGAGGTCTGGTCTTTATAGTCCAAGCAGTCTGAAGCATTGAAGTTGAGTTTCCAGGATGAGGCAGCCGTCTGCTCTTTGTAATCCAGGCAGTCGAATGAGTTGAAGGGCCAATCTAAAGCCTCCATAGA